TGGTGGACCTCTGTGCCTGTTGGACCTCTGTGCCTGTTGGACCTCTGTGCCTGGTGGACCTCTGTGCCTGTTGGACCTCTGTGCCTGGTGGACCTCTGTGCCTGGTGGACCTCTGTGCCTGTTGGACCTCTGTGCCTGGTGGACCTCTGTGCCTGTTGGACCTCTGTGCCTGTTGGACCTCTGTGCCTGTTGGACCTCTGTGCCTGTTGGACCTCTGTGCCTGTTGGACCTCTGTGCCTGGTGGACCTCTGTGCCTGTTGGACCTCTGTGCCTGGTGGACCTCTGTGCCTGTTGGACCTCTGTGCCTGTTGGACCTCTGTGCCTGGTGGACCTCTGTGCCTGTTGGACCTCTGTGCCTGGTGGACCTCTGTGCCTGTTGGACCTCTGTGCCTGTTGGACCTCTGTGCCTGTTGGACCTCTGTGCCTGTTGGACCTCTGTGCCTGTTGGACCTCTGTGCCTGGTGGACCTCTGTGCCTGTTGGACCTCTGTGCCTGGTGGACCTCTGTGCCTGTTGGACCTCTGTGCCTGTTGGACCTCTGTGCCTGTTGGACCTCTGTGCCTGTTGGACCTCTGTGCCTGTTGGACCTCTGTGCCTGGTGGACCTCTGTGCCTGTTGGACCTCTGTGCCTGTTGGACCTCTGTGCCTGTTGGACCTCTGTGCCTGTTGGACCTCTGTGCCTGTTGGACCTCTGTGCCTGTTGGACCTCTGTGCCTGGTGGACCTCTGTGCCTGGTGGACCTCTGTGCCTGGTGGACCTCTGTGCCTGGTGGACCTCTGTGCCTGGTGGACCTCTGTGCCTGTTGGACCTCTGTGCCTGTTGGACCTCTGTGCCTGTTGGACCTCTGTGCCTGTTGGACCTCTGTGCCTGGTGGACCTCTGTGCCTGGTGGACCTCTGTGCCTGGTGGACCTCTGTGCCTGTTGGACCTCTGTGCCTGGTGGACCTCTGTGCCTGTTGGACCTCTGTGCCTGGTGGACCTCTGTGCCTGGTGGACCTCTGTGCCTGGTGGACCTCTGTGCCTGTTGGACCTCTGTGCCTGTTGGACCTCTGTGCCTGGTGGACCTCTGTGCCTGGTGGACCTCTGTGCCTGTTGGACCTCTGTGCCTGTTGGACCTCTGTGCCTGTTGGACCTCTGTGCCTGTTGGACCTCTGTGCCTGGTGGACCTCTGTGCCTGGTGGACCTCTGTGCCTGTTGGACCTCTGTGCCTGTTGGACCTCTGTGCCTGGTGGACCTCTGTGCCTGGTGGACCTCTGTGCCTGTTGGACCTCTGTGCCTGTTGGACCTCTGTGCCTGTTGGACCTCTGTGCCTGTTGGACCTCTGTGCCTGGTGGACCTCTGTGCCTGGTGGACCTCTGTGCCTGTTGGACCTCTGTGCCTGTTGGACCTCTGTGCCTGTTGGACCTCTGTGCCTGGTGGACCTCTGTGCCTGGTGGACCTCTGTGCCTGTTGGACCTCTGTGCCTGGTGGACCTCTGTGCCTGTTGGACCTCTGTGCCTGGTGGACCTCTGTGCCTGTTGGACCTCTGTGCCTGTTGGACCTCTGTGCCTGGTGGACCTCTGTGCCTGGTGGACCTCTGTGCCTGGTGGACCTCTGTGCCTGGTGGACCTCTGTGCCTGTTGGACCTCTGTGCCTGTTGGACCTCTGTGCCTGGTGGACCTCTGTGCCTGGTGGACCTCTGTGCCTGGTGGACCTCTGTGCCTGTTGGACCTCTGTGCCTGTTGGACCTCTGTGCCTGGTGGACCTCTGTGCCTGGTGGACCTCTGTGCCTGGTGGACCTCTGTGCCTGGTGGACCTCTGTGCCTGTTGGACCTCTGTGCCTGTTGGACCTCTGTGCCTGTTGGACCTCTGTGCCTGGTGGACCTCTGTGCCTGTTGGACCTCTGTGCCTGTTGGACCTCTGTGCCTGGTGGACCTCTGTGCCTGGTGGACCTCTGTGCCTGTTGGACCTCTGTGCCTGTTGGACCTCTGTGCCTGTTGGACCTCTGTGCCTGTTGGACCTCTGTGCCTGGTGGACCTCTGTGCCTGGTGGACCTCTGTGCCTGTTGGACCTCTGTGCCTGTTGGACCTCTGTGCCTGGTGGACCTCTGTGCCTGGTGGACCTCTGTGCCTGTTGGACCTCTGTGCCTGGTGGACCTCTGTGCCTGTTGGACCTCTGTGCCTGTTGGACCTCTGTGCCTGGTGGACCTCTGTGCCTGGTGGACCTCTGTGCCTGGTGGACCTCTGTGCCTGTTGGACCTCTGTGCCTGGTGGACCTCTGTGCCTGGTGGACCTCTGTGCCTGGTGGACCTCTGTGCCTGGTGGACCTCTGTGCCTGGTGGACCTCTGTGCCTGGTGGACCTCTGTGCCTGTTGGACCTCTGTGCCTGGTGGACCTCTGTGCCTGGTGGACCTCTGTGCCTGGTGGACCTCTGTGCCTGTTGGACCTCTGTGCCTGTTGGACCTCTGTGCCTGGTGGACCTCTGTGCCTGGTGGACCTCTGTGCCTGGTGGACCTCTGTGCCTGGTGGACCTCTGTGCCTGTTGGACCTCTGTGCCTGTTGGACCTCTGTGCCTGTTGGACCTCTGTGCCTGGTGGACCTCTGTGCCTGTTGGACCTCTGTGCCTGTTGGACCTCTGTGCCTGGTGGACCTCTGTGCCTGGTGGACCTCTGTGCCTGTTGGACCTCTGTGCCTGTTGGACCTCTGTGCCTGTTGGACCTCTGTGCCTGTTGGACCTCTGTGCCTGGTGGACCTCTGTGCCTGGTGGACCTCTGTGCCTGTTGGACCTCTGTGCCTGTTGGACCTCTGTGCCTGGTGGACCTCTGTGCCTGGTGGACCTCTGTGCCTGTTGGACCTCTGTGCCTGGTGGACCTCTGTGCCTGTTGGACCTCTGTGCCTGTTGGACCTCTGTGCCTGGTGGACCTCTGTGCCTGGTGGACCTCTGTGCCTGGTGGACCTCTGTGCCTGTTGGACCTCTGTGCCTGGTGGACCTCTGTGCCTGGTGGACCTCTGTGCCTGGTGGACCTCTGTGCCTGGTGGACCTCTGTGCCTGGTGGACCTCTGTGCCTGTTGGACCTCTGTGCCTGTTGGACCTCTGTGCCTGGTGGACCTCTGTGCCTGTTGGACCTCTGTGCCTGGTGGACCTCTGTGCCTGGTGGACCTCTGTGCCTGTTGGACCTCTGTGCCTGGTGGACCTCTGTGCCTGTTGGACCTCTGTGCCTGTTGGACCTCTGTGCCTGTTGGACCTCTGTGCCTGTTGGACCTCTGTGCCTGTTGGACCTCTGTGCCTGGTGGACCTCTGTGCCTGTTGGACCTCTGTGCCTGGTGGACCTCTGTGCCTGTTGGACCTCTGTGCCTGTTGGACCTCTGTGCCTGGTGGACCTCTGTGCCTGTTGGACCTCTGTGCCTGGTGGACCTCTGTGCCTGTTGGACCTCTGTGCCTGTTGGACCTCTGTGCCTGTTGGACCTCTGTGCCTGTTGGACCTCTGTGCCTGTTGGACCTCTGTGCCTGGTGGACCTCTGTGCCTGTTGGACCTCTGTGCCTGTTGGACCTCTGTGCCTGTTGGACCTTTGTGCCTGTTGGACCTCTATGCCTGTTGGACCTCTGTGCCTGTTGGACCTCTGTGCCTGTTGGACCTCTGTGCCTGGTGGACCTCTGTGCCTGGTGGACCTCTGTGCCTGTTGGACCTCTGTGCCTGTTGGACCTCTGTGCCTGTTGGACCTCTGTGCCTGTTGGACCTCTGTGCCTGTTGGACCTCTGTGCCTGGTGGACCTCTGTGCCTGGTGGACCTCTGTGCCTGGTGGACCTCTGTGCCTGGTGGACCTCTGTGCCTGGTGGACCTCTGTGCCTGGTGGACCTCTGTGCCTGTTGGACCTCTGTGCCTGTTGGACCTCTGTGCCTGTTGGACCTCTGTGCCTGGTGGACCTCTGTGCCTGGTGGACCTCTGTGCCTGGTGGACCTCTGTGCCTGTTGGACCTCTGTGCCTGGTGGACCTCTGTGCCTGTTGGACCTCTGTGCCTGGTGGACCTCTGTGCCTGGTGGACCTCTGTGCCTGGTGGACCTCTGTGCCTGTTGGACCTCTGTGCCTGTTGGACCTCTGTGCCTGGTGGACCTCTGTGCCTGGTGGACCTCTGTGCCTGTTGGACCTCTGTGCCTGTTGGACCTCTGTGCCTGTTGGACCTCTGTGCCTGTTGGACCTCTGTGCCTGGTGGACCTCTGTGCCTGGTGGACCTCTGTGCCTGTTGGACCTCTGTGCCTGTTGGACCTCTGTGCCTGGTGGACCTCTGTGCCTGGTGGACCTCTGTGCCTGTTGGACCTCTGTGCCTGGTGGACCTCTGTGCCTGTTGGACCTCTGTGCCTGTTGGACCTCTGTGCCTGGTGGACCTCTGTGCCTGTTGGACCTCTGTGCCTGGTGGACCTCTGTGCCTGGTGGACCTCTGTGCCTGGTGGACCTCTGTGCCTGGTGGACCTCTGTGCCTGTTGGACCTCTGTGCCTGTTGGACCTCTGTGCCTGGTGGACCTCTGTGCCTGGTGGACCTCTGTGCCTGGTGGACCTCTGTGCCTGGTGGACCTCTGTGCCTGTTGGACCTCTGTGCCTGTTGGACCTCTGTGCCTGTTGGACCTCTGTGCCTGGTGGACCTCTGTGCCTGTTGGACCTCTGTGCCTGTTGGACCTCTGTGCCTGGTGGACCTCTGTGCCTGGTGGACCTCTGTGCCTGTTGGACCTCTGTGCCTGTTGGACCTCTGTGCCTGTTGGACCTCTGTGCCTGTTGGACCTCTGTGCCTGGTGGACCTCTGTGCCTGGTGGACCTCTGTGCCTGTTGGACCTCTGTGCCTGTTGGACCTCTGTGCCTGGTGGACCTCTGTGCCTGGTGGACCTCTGTGCCTGTTGGACCTCTGTGCCTGGTGGACCTCTGTGCCTGTTGGACCTCTGTGCCTGTTGGACCTCTGTGCCTGTTGGACCTCTGTGCCTGTTGGACCTCTGTGCCTGTTGGACCTCTGTGCCTGGTGGACCTCTGTGCCTGATGGACCTCTGTGCCTGGTGGACCTCTGTGCCTGGTGGACCTCTGTGCCTGGTGGACCTCTGTGCCTGTTGGACCTCTGTGCCTGGTGGACCTCTGTGCCTGGTGGACCTCTGTGCCTGGTGGACCTCTGTGCCTGGTGGACCTCTGTGCCTGGTGGACCTCTGTGCCTGTTGGACCTCTGTGCCTGTTGGACCTCTGTGCCTGGTGGACCTCTGTGCCTGGTGGACCTCTGTGCCTGTTGGACCTCTGTGCCTGTTGGACCTCTGTGCCTGTTGGACCTCTGTGCCTGTTGGACCTCTGTGCCTGGTGGACCTCTGTGCCTGGTGGACCTCTGTGCCTGTTGGACCTCTGTGCCTGTTGGACCTCTGTGCCTGGTGGACCTCTGTGCCTGGTGGACCTCTGTGCCTGGTGGACCTCTGTGCCTGTTGGACCTCTGTGCCTGGTGGACCTCTGTGCCTGGTGGACCTCTGTGCCTGGTGGACCTCTGTGCCTGGTGGACCTCTGTGCCTGGTGGACCTCTGTGCCTGTTGGACCTCTGTGCCTGTTGGACCTCTGTGCCTGTTGGACCTCTGTGCCTGGTGGACCTCTGTGCCTGTTGGACCTCTGTGCCTGTTGGACCTCTGTGCCTGGTGGACCTCTGTGCCTGGTGGACCTCTGTGCCTGTTGGACCTCTGTGCCTGTTGGACCTCTGTGCCTGTTGGACCTCTGTGCCTGTTGGACCTCTGTGCCTGGTGGACCTCTGTGCCTGGTGGACCTCTGTGCCTGTTGGACCTCTGTGCCTGTTGGACCTCTGTGCCTGGTGGACCTCTGTGCCTGGTGGACCTCTGTGCCTGTTGGACCTCTGTGCCTGGTGGACCTCTGTGCCTGGTGGACCTCTGTGCCTGTTGGACCTCTGTGCCTGTTGGACCTCTGTGCCTGTTGGACCTCTGTGCCTGTTGGACCTCTGTGCCTGGTGGACCTCTGTGCCTGGTGGACCTCTGTGCCTGGTGGACCTCTGTGCCTGGTGGACCTCTGTGCCTGGTGGACCTCTGTGCCTGGTGGACCTCTGTGCCTGTTGGACCTCTGTGCCTGTTGGACCTCTGTGCCTGTTGGACCTCTGTGCCTGGTGGACCTCTGTGCCTGTTGGACCTCTGTGCCTGTTGGACCTCTGTGCCTGGTGGACCTCTGTGCCTGGTGGACCTCTGTGCCTGGTGGACCTCTGTGCCTGTTGGACCTCTGTGCCTGTTGGACCTCTGTGCCTGTTGGACCTCTGTGCCTGGTGGACCTCTGTGCCTGGTGGACCTCTGTGCCTGGTGGACCTCTGTGCCTGTTGGACCTCTGTGCCTGTTGGACCTCTGTGCCTGGTGGACCTCTGTGCCTGTTGGACCTCTGTGCCTGTTGGACCTCTGTGCCTGGTGGACCTCTGTGCCTGTTGGACCTCTGTGCCTGTTGGACCTCTGTGCCTGTTGGACCTCTGTGCCTGTTGGACCTCTGTGCCTGTTGGACCTCTGTGCCTGGTGGACCTCTGTGCCTGGTGGACCTCTGTGCCTGGTGGACCTCTGTGCCTGGTGGACCTCTGTGCCTGGTGGACCTCTGTGCCTGTTGGACCTCTGTGCCTGGTGGACCTCTGTGCCTGGTGGACCTCTGTGCCTGGTGGACCTCTGTGCCTGGTGGACCTCTGTGCCTGGTGGACCTCTGTGCCTGTTGGACCTCTGTGCCTGTTGGACCTCTGTGCCTGTTGGACCTCTGTGCCTGTTGGACCTCTGTGCCTGGTGGACCTCTGTGCCTGTTGGACCTCTGTGCCTGGTGGACCTCTGTGCCTGGTGGACCTCTGTGCCTGTTGGACCTCTGTGCCTGGTGGACCTCTGTGCCTGGTGGACCTCTGTGCCTGGTGGACCTCTGTGCCTGTTGGACCTCTGTGCCTGTTGGACCTCTGTGCCTGGTGGACCTCTGTGCCTGGTGGACCTCTGTGCCTGGTGGACCTCTGTGCCTGTTGGACCTCTGTGCCTGGTGGACCTCTGTGCCTGTTGGACCTCTGTGCCTGTTGGACCTCTGTGCCTGTTGGACCTCTGTGCCTGTTGGACCTCTGTGCCTGTTGGACCTCTGTGCCTGGTGGACCTCTGTGCCTGGTGGACCTCTGTGCCTGGTGGACCTCTGTGCCTGGTGGACCTCTGTGCCTGGTGGACCTCTGTGCCTGGTGGACCTCTGTGCCTGGTGGACCTCTGTGCCTGTTGGACCTCTGTGCCTGTTGGACCTCTGTGCCTGGTGGACCTCTGTGCCTGGTGGACCTCTGTGCCTGGTGGACCTCTGTGCCTGGTGGACCTCTGTGCCTGGTGGACCTCTGTGCCTGGTGGACCTCTGTGCCTGGTGGACCTCTGTGCCTGGTGGACCTCTGTGCCTGTTGGACCTCTGTGCCTGTTGGACCTCTGTGCCTGTTGGACCTCTGTGCCTGTTGGACCTCTGTGCCTGGTGGACCTCTGTGCCTGTTGGACCTCTGTGCCTGTTGGACCTCTGTGCCTGGTGGACCTCTGTGCCTGGTGGACCTCTGTGCCTGTTGGACCTCTGTGCCTGTTGGACCTCTGTGCCTGTTGGACCTCTGTGCCTGTTGGACCTCTGTGCCTGGTGGACCTCTGTGCCTGGTGGACCTCTGTGCCTGGTGGACCTCTGTGCCTGTTGGACCTCTGTGCCTGTTGGACCTCTGTGCCTGGTGGACCTCTGTGCCTGTTGGACCTCTGTGCCTGGTGGACCTCTGTGCCTGGTGGACCTCTGTGCCTGTTGGACCTCTGTGCCTGTTGGACCTCTGTGCCTGTTGGACCTCTGTGCCTGTTGGACCTCTGTGCCTGTTGGACCTCTGTGCCTGGTGGACCTCTGTGCCTGGTGGACCTCTGTGCCTGGTGGACCTCTGTGCCTGGTGGACCTCTGTGCCTGGTGGACCTCTGTGCCTGTTGGACCTCTGTGCCTGTTGGACCTCTGTGCCTGGTGGACCTCTGTGCCTGGTGGACCTCTGTGCCTGGTGGACCTCTGTGCCTGGTGGACCTCTGTGCCTGGTGGACCTCTGTGCCTGTTGGACCTCTGTGCCTGTTGGACCTCTGTGCCTGGTGGACCTCTGTGCCTGGTGGACCTCTGTGCCTGGTGGACCTCTGTGCCTGTTGGACCTCTGTGCCTGTTGGACCTCTGTGCCTGGTGGACCTCTGTGCCTGTTGGACCTCTGTGCCTGTTGGACCTCTGTGCCTGTTGGACCTCTGTGCCTGGTGGACCTCTGTGCCTGGTGGACCTCTGTGCCTGTTGGACCTCTGTGCCTGGTGGACCTCTGTGCCTGTTGGACCTCTGTGCCTGTTGGACCTCTGTGCCTGTTGGACCTCTGTGCCTGTTGGACCTCTGTGCCTGTTGGACCTCTGTGCCTGGTGGACCTCTGTGCCTGGTGGACCTCTGTGCCTGGTGGACCTCTGTGCCTGGTGGACCTCTGTGCCTGGTGGACCTCTGTGCCTGTTGGACCTCTGTGCCTGGTGGACCTCTGTGCCTGGTGGACCTCTGTGCCTGGTGGACCTCTGTGCCTGGTGGACCTCTGTGCCTGGTGGACCTCTGTGCCTGTTGGACCTCTGTGCCTGTTGGACCTCTGTGCCTGTTGGACCTCTGTGCCTGTTGGACCTCTGTGCCTGGTGGACCTCTGTGCCTGTTGGACCTCTGTGCCTGGTGGACCTCTGTGCCTGGTGGACCTCTGTGCCTGTTGGACCTCTGTGCCTGGTGGACCTCTGTGCCTGGTGGACCTCTGTGCCTGGTGGACCTCTGTGCCTGGTGGACCTCTGTGCCTGGTGGACCTCTGTGCCTGGTGGACCTCTGTGCCTGTTGGACCTCTGTGCCTGTTGGACCTCTGTGCCTGGTGGACCTCTGTGCCTGGTGGACCTCTGTGCCTGGTGGACCTCTGTGCCTGGTGGACCTCTGTGCCTGGTGGACCTCTGTGCCTGTTGGACCTCTGTGCCTGTTGGACCTCTGTGCCTGGTGGACCTCTGTGCCTGGTGGACCTCTGTGCCTGGTGGACCTCTGTGCCTGGTGGACCTCTGTGCCTGGTGGACCTCTGTGCCTGGTGGACCTCTGTGCCTGGTGGACCTCTGTGCCTGGTGGACCTCTGTGCCTGGTGGACCTCTGTGCCTGGTGGACCTCTGTGCCTGTTGGACCTCTGTGCCTGTTGGACCTCTGTGCCTGGTGGACCTCTGTGCCTGGTGGACCTCTGTGCCTGTTGGACCTCTGTGCCTGTTGGACCTCTGTGCCTGGTGGACCTCTGTGCCTGTTGGACCTCTGTGCCTGGTGGACCTCTGTGCCTGGTGGACCTCTGTGCCTGGTGGACCTCTGTGCCTGGTGGACCTCTGTGCCTGGTGGACCTCTGTGCCTGGTGGACCTCTGTGCCTGGTGGACCTCTGTGCCTGGTGGACCTCTGTGCCTGTTGGACCTCTGTGCCTGTTGGACCTCTGTGCCTGTTGGACCTCTGTGCCTGTTGGACCTCTGTGCCTGTTGGACCTCTGTGCCTGGTGGACCTCTGTGCCTGGTGGACCTCTGTGCCTGGTGGACCTCTGTGCCTGGTGGACCTCTGTGCCTGGTGGACCTCTGTGCCTGTTGGACCTCTGTGCCTGTTGGACCTCTGTGCCTGGTGGACCTCTGTGCCTGTTGGACCTCTGTGCCTGGTGGACCTCTGTGCCTGTTGGACCTCTGTGCCTGTTGGACCTCTGTGTCTGTTGGACCTCTGTGCCTGTTGGACCTCTGTGCCTGGTGGACCTCTGTGCCTGGTGGACCTCTGTGCCTGGTGGACCTCTGTGCCTGGTGGACCTCTGTGCCTGGTGGACCTCTGTGCCTGTTGGACCTCTGTGCCTGTTGGACCTCTGTGCCTGTTGGACCTCTGTGCCTGGTGGACCTCTGTGCCTGGTGGACCTCTGTGCCTGGTGGACCTCTGTGCCTGTTGGACCTCTGTGCCTGGTGGACCTCTGTGCCTGTTGGACCTCTGTGCCTGTTGGACCTCTGTGCCTGGTGGACCTCTGTGCCTGTTGGACCTCTGTGCCTGTTGGACCTCTGTGCCTGTTGGACCTCTGTGCCTGGTGGACCTCTGTGCCTGTTGGACCTCTGTGCCTGGTGGACCTCTGTGCCTGTTGGACCTCTGTGCCTGGTGGACCTCTGTGCCTGGTGGACCTCTGTGCCTGTTGGACCTCTGTGCCTGTTGGACCTCTGTGCCTGTTGGACCTCTGTGCCTGTTGGACCTTTGTGCCTGGTGGACCTCTGTGCCTGGTGGACCTCTGTGCCTGGTGGACCTCTGTGCCTGTTGGACCTCTGTGCCTGGTGGACCTCTGTGCCTGTTGGACCTCTGTGCCTGGTGGACCTCTGTGCCTGGTGGACCTCTGTGCCTGTTGGACCTCTGTGCCTGTTGGACCTCTGTGCCTGGTGGACCTCTGTGCCTGGTGGACCTCTGTGCCTGGTGGACCTCTGTGCCTGTTGGACCTCTGTGCCTGGTGGACCTCTGTGCCTGGTGGACCTCTGTGCCTGGTGGACCTCTGTGCCTGGTGGACCTCTGTGCCAATAGTGCATCTTTTGTCTTGGTGTGTGCCGTAATCTTTGTGCACACAAGCAAGAGTCTGCTGCATTACAACATGTACAGAACCTGCCCTGCCACCGCACCTGCCCTGCCACCGCACCTGCCCTGCCACCGCACCTGCCCTGCCACCGCACCTGCCCTGCCACCGCACCTGCCCTGCCACCGCACCTGCCCTGCCACCGCACCTGCCCTGCCACCGCACCTGCCCTGCCACCGCACCTGCCCTGCCACCGCACCTGCCCTGCCACCGCACCTGCCCTGCCACCGCACCTGCCCTGCCACCGCACCTGCCCTGCCACCGCACCTGCCCTGCCACCGCACCTGCCCTGCCACCGCACCTGCCCTGCCACCGCACCTGCCCTGCCACCGCGCCTGCCCTGCCACCGCGCCTGCCCTGCCACCGCACCTGCCCTGCCACCGCACCTGCCCTGCCACCGCGCCTGCCCTGCCACCGCACCTGCCCTGCCACCGCACCTGCCCTGCCACCGCACCTGCCCTGCTACCCCACCTGGTGTGTGGGAGAACACGTCCCAGATGCTGGCTCCTCGCCCTCCTTCCCGCGCTGCTCCCTCCACCTGCGCGCTCGTGGAAGAAGGGGAAAAGGCGCGCAGCTAAGCGTAGGGTGTGGTGGGGCCAGGGATGTTCCTCGCACTCACTTCACGTCCACGCCACGTGTCATCCACGTGCCAGAGCCTGCCCCCTGCCGTGCAAGCAACCACTGGCGCACGCGTCTCCCCAAGCCATTGATTCCATCCACACCGCTCGCTCGCTGCTTCGGCCTGTGGCCTCACCTCGCTCATGTAACGCCCAGCGTTCCCATCAGCGGGTTGTACATTGGCGGCCAATCATTGGCCTGGAGGCTCCGGCTTTGACCGGGAGGGCTGTGGCTCCGCCCACATGGGCACTACGCCTACGTCCACACAGCAGATTGTACCTCTCTCTCCTGCCGCCCTACGCCTCACTGCATCATCCTCTCCAACGTCCCCCCTGCCTCACACGCCACACCACCAAACCATCCTTTCACTCCCCTTCCTCCCCTCCCCCCCCCCCCCCCCCCCTCCCCTTCTTCCCCATTCTCCCTTTCCCCCAATCCCCCCCGGCGCAACTGGTAACCACCCGTGGGCCCTGCCAGTCACCAGCACGTCTGGCCTATGGCCCGTCCGCCCTTCCTCCTACCCTCTCCTTCCTCCACTACTCCCCCATTGCCCGCGCCCCCTCCTCTTCCCCCCCATCCTTCCCCTGTCCCCCCCACCTGATACGCGGCAGTGGCGGTGCCAAACAGGAATCCGGGCGGAAACATGTCCCTCCGCAGCGCTCCCCACGCCGCCTCCTCCGCCTCCCTGCGCGGCTCCCCCTTCGCGTCCCCCCCAAAGATCTCCCGCCGCACATCTTGCGCGCGGATTGAATGCGCTTTCCCGCGCCGCGCAACGCACGGGCGAAGCGCGTCCTGCAAACGCCAGTGGCGTGCTAGAGCTAGACTCGAGACGCGTGAATAGCGGGGCGCGCTGTGGGTTGTGCGGCCGTTTCGAGGAACGTCAGACCGGGATCGCACAGTCCCACTCCTTGAACCCGAGAGCGAGACGAGGCGCAAATCTCGCCGCGGAACACGGCGCGTATCTTGGCGCGAAGGAGAGGAGGGGGGAGCGAGAGGAAGCGCGGTGTGGCGGGGAAAGGCGGTAGGCGTGGAGGCGGCGGCGCGAACGGCGGCAGAACATGGCTGGTTGTTGAATCTCGTTATCGTGTGATTTGGTGCACTGGTACAAGCCGGCCCGGCATAAGCACTGAAAGCCATGAGTTCCTTTGGTTACCGGCGAATTCACCCCATTTCCCCTGAAGGTTGGGTTGCGAGATCTCTGGCAAGATGGGGCGAGCCAAACTTGAAAAACCCGCCTCATCGCCAGCCATCAGATTTCACAGCCCAACCAACCTTCCTTGGTTCGAAACCTCTGGACCTCGGGCAACCGAGTCAAAACACTGTCACGGCGTCTTCACGCGCGTGTCGCACTGGAATTTGTGATTGTCATCTCTGTTTATTGTAGAAACCCCACCCCAAGGATGTATCAAGTTCGCTGAAACCCTAGAGATGGTTTCCTGAGATTGCTCAAAGCATGTCTAGACATTGCCATCGCTTGCGCTAGAAATGCCCATAGTAATCATCATTCTTAGTTTCACAGACATGGTTTGCTGAATCCTTCACGAATCTAGAATGATTGTTTTTCCGAATATTTTTTTGGGACGCGGTAAATGGAACAGTTATCGCACTTACAGCAGCAGCGCCGGCAGCAGCCGCAGGAATAGAAGCGGCAGCGGCGGCGGCGGCGGCGGCGATGGAATGAAGAGGTCCCGAAGGCCGTCGTTTAAGCACACCGTGCGTCTGTCAGATGCTCTTAAACCCCGAAGGCGCTCAGCGCCTCTTAAGTCGTCCCAGTCTTCGTTCACCTACCTGAGTCCCTCCGAGGCGGAATGGCGGCTGATGCTGACGGAAATCGGCGTGCAGCCACGTAAGATGTCCCGCATTCTGACTCAGTACCACGCGATGCCTGCTGACGTGGCAATGGAAAGGCTGGTTTTTCTCCAGAGTTTGGGGGTGGACACCGGAAAAGCCCTTTCCTCCTTCCCCAAACTTTTGTTTTATCCGCCTTCAACTGCCCGAGCCATGGCGGATTACCTCACCTCCGTTGTCATCAAACCTGGCTTGACTGGGAAAGTTTTGTCTGCCTGCCCACAGCTCCTCGGGCTGAGTATTGAAGAGAATATCTGCCCCACGATTTCTCACCTGGTGGAAGCATGGGGGCTCGACCAATCACGCGACATCCCTGTGGTGATCTCACGCCACCCACGCTGCCTAACCTACTCCATCCCGGAGAACCTCCAACCGACCCTAACCTTCTGGCTTGGTTTGGGAATCGCCAAGCCTGCAAAACTCATCCGAGCCCAACCCATAGATCCTTGGGCTTTCCACTACCAAGCGAATTCTGCCCACAATTGCTGCATTTGATAGTTATGGCATCCCGCCCCGCTTCGCTATTGACATGGTTCAGAAATTCCCTCATCTCTTCAATTACAGCTGGAATAATAACTTAATGCCAAAGCTACAGTACCTGGATGAAGTAGGGAGGGGTATCGACGAGGCGGTTCAGCACCCACAGTATTTCGGGTACAGTTTGGCTCGGCGAATTCGGCCGAGGCTCGGCGGTGTGGCTCGGGCTGGCCTGCATGTGAGCCTGAGCTTTGTGTTGCGACTGAAGGACGAGGATTTTGAGCGGCTGTATGGTGATGTGTGTAGGGACGAAGTAAGGGGAGGAGATGGCGCACAGGAGCAAGGGTCATGCATTTGATAAGCAAAGCAACCAATTCTAAGGAGTGAAGAAACGGACCAGGCATACTGCAAATTTACGAAGTGAGTTGGCTGGTAATGTCATCTTGTCAGCCTGATATTTTTTTCTTTTGTGCACATTCATGTTTGCCCTCTCATGCCTTTCCCCGTCCCCACATCCCCCGCCCCCTCCTGTCCCCTCCTCCCCTTTCCCTCCCTCACCCACCATCCCTGCTCCCTGTTACCATAATTTCTGGCCCCACCTTCCACTTGTTTTGTCATATTCTTTGTAGCTGTGCTAGTTTCAAGTCGCTATTTATTCAATTTCTGACCCCACCTCCATATCCCCCCACTCACCACCACCCGCCTTCCCCCCGCATATCCACCTCTATATCCCCCCACCCACTCACCACCCACCTTCCCCCCCGCATATCCACCTCCATATCCCCCCTAAGGGTGAAAACGAATAGCACAGTATTCGTTTTTTACTCGAAATTCGCCTCAGACTCGAATACAAATCGAGTCGAGTTCGTATTCCCTACTCGCTAAAACTCGTTTTTGCCTGCTCGCGAATACGAGTATTTGACGTTCCTGACTCGAGCGAATACTCGAGTATTCGTATTTGAACCCGTGTATGCCTCCCTGTTTTTATTCCACGCTTGCAGGCGCTCGTACGCATCGACTGTGTGGCGCGAAGTTTACGGTGGCACGACGCGCGCTCGTTACATGCGGGCAGCGGGTGAAATCGGGACTTACGGTTTGCTAGGCTAGGTTCTAAGTAGTACCTAACTATCACTAGCAAGTTAGGGTTGTCGAGGAGGTTGAGTTGAGAGAGTTGCGGTGGACGAGGTTGGGTTGGTTTGACTAGGGTTACCACTTGTACTTTTGGTTGGTTGTATTTGGTTGTTGACTCTGACACGTGGCAGTTAGAGTGCACGCACGATCGCATTCTTCCAGAGGGTTTAGGGAACAAAACGCACGACATGTAGGGAGTCACGAATCTTTTCACGACTCCCTCTGTTGCGCTCAGGTGGACGCCAGGTGGTTCACAATCTTTTTTTTCACGTCGCATGCAGATTCGCGGAGCCGCATCTGCATCTTATTGGGTGTTGAGGGGAGCCCAGATGCTGCGGGGAACTGGCTAGCGTGACGTGAGCCACGACGACAATCTGCTGTGACACAATGAACAAACAACTAGGCAACAAAACGCGCGACAAATAGAATTCGCGAAATTTCACAATGGGTGTCGGAAAGAAAATGCGGGACAAATCAAATTTCGCGAAAGTCAAGCACGTGTGTGGAAACAATGAGCGGGACAAATCTAATTTCGCGGAAATTTGGAGTGCGGCTCGCGGGAAACCGCCAAACAAATTCATTCGACACACAAGGGTGGAGGGAGAGGGAACATTTCCAGAGAGCAAACACACACAATTCCAGAGAGTTGATTTCATATTCCAGAGAGCTCCTACTACCATAACTATGGGTTCATCTTCATGCTTGGCTACATTTTAGACCCAGACACTCCATAACTTTGCTACCTCGTTTATCCAATCTACAACTTTGATTCAACAGACGTGTTTTTCTCTCCAAATCAGGGTTCTCGTTATCAGACCAATTTGGTCTGATGGTCTGAGAATCAGACCTATTTTTTCTAGTTCATCTGACTTTGAAGACAAGCAATTTTAGTTCGTCTGATCCATAAAACCAGACATTTTATTTCGTCTGGAAAATCATATTCGGTGTTATACTTCATCTGAGAAATCAGATAGTGCGTACATTTTCGTCTGGCACCAAGTACCGAGTGCTTCCCTCTTCCCCCTACCCCCCCCCCCCGCTTCAGCCCCCCAAGACCCAAATTCCCTCGCTCTTCCCCACTACCCACCCAGCCGCCCAACAAAGCCAGCCGACCTCGAATTCCCCCCCGCCCCCCCCACAATCTCCTAAGTCTACAGCACTCTTGCCCCTTCCCCCGTGTCCGTCTCGAACGTAACCCAAACCCCCCCCACTCCCTTGTCTCTCGCAGGCCAACACCTGCCCCACTGCCCCATTCCCGCTCTCGCGCATCACAGCGCAAACCTGTTTAGGTTGTGTCGCTCTGTCTGATACAAGTAAAACAGTACACAATCCATTTATTTAAGAAAAAAACAGGCAGCAGTATTATTTCATCTGAAATTTCAGACATGGCTTTTTCCTTCGTCTTAAAAATCAGACCAGAAAAAAATCCCCGTCTGAACGTCAGACGAAACATTTTTTTGGTATATACTTTTCAGACGGGCTTAAAACCTAGCAAAAGCCCTGCTCCAAATGGCGGACCCCGGAGCATCTAGCATTCCTACTCCATCTACTAATGATTCAACCGCCGCGCAAGTAGTAGATGTAGAAGCGTCCACCCCAAACCCAAGCGCATCAAAACGTCATCTTCTAAGATATGGCTCATGTTCACCAAGTTGGAATGTGGCAAGAAGGCAAAGTGCAACTATTGCACTCTCAAGCCCGCAATATACGCTTTGACGGGAAGCTCTACATCCTCGATGCAGATTCATGCGATGAAGAGTCATCCTAAGGAATTTCGACTCTTGGTGGGAGATGCGGAACAAACGGACGCGGAGGATGGCTCATCCAACGAGATTTCGCGCGCATTATTGAAGATAAAGGCCTTCTCGGACAAGGAGAATCGCGAGAAGCTCGTGCGCATCTTCGCCAAAGGCCTCATCCCGTTCTCATTCATCGAGGATGAAGACTTTCGGGCGTACTTGCATTGGCTCAACCCAAGGGCAAGTATGCCGAGCCGTGTGACTCTTGCGAACGACATTCATGCGGCCTATAACGCATGTGTGGGTAAGATTAAGAATCTTCTTTTGAACCTAGACGACAGTGAGCAGCAAAGTCGACAAGCTCAGCAACTAAGGCAGACGCAGCAGCGGACTCAAAGGAAGGGTCAGTGACAACAGTGGCCAGGAGACGCGTGACAGTAGGGTGAGCAGCACGAACACGGTCAGACTCAGGGTCTGGAACGTCAGGTAGAGAGGACGCAGGAGGAGACGAGAGAGGAACACGCTGTGGAGCAGTGGACGGACGAAGTGCCATCTGGTGCGTGCCAGGGACAGGAGGAGGACGCGGACGCGGAACACGACGACTAGTGCGAGCAGTACGAACAGGCGACGCAGGACGAGACTCGGGCTCACGACGCTCAGCAAGTCCTCCTGTCTGCTCAGTGTAAGGAGAAGGAGCAGGCAGCGGTGACCCAGGCTGTAACGGAAGACCAGTAGACGACGGGAGGGTAAGAACCTGACGAAGAACAGAGTCAGGCGGTGGCAGAGACGACGGAGACGGCGGAGCGAAGAACAGTCGAGGCTGCGCAGTGCCACCAGCACCAGCAGCTCCAGCGCCTCCAGCAGCACCAGCGCCTCCAGCAGCTCCAGCGCCTCCAGCAGCTCCAGCACCTCCAGCAGCACCAGCGCCTCCAGCAGAACCAGTGCCCCCAGCGTCAGCTCCGACTCCTGCAGCACCACCAGCTCCAGCAGCGCCAACTCCAGTACCCCCAGGAGCACCGTCAGCACCCGCACCTCCAGCTCCAGTCCCCGCAGAACCGCTAGCTCCAGTACCAGGAGCGCCTCCAGGAGCTCCAGCAGCACCTCCAGGCCCAGCAGCTCCAGCACCTCCAGCGCCAACCCCAGGGTCGGCAGCCACACCAGCACCAGTAGCTCCAGCGCCCTCAGCTCCAGCGCCAGCAGAACTCCCAACTCCCACAGCACCACTGCGGCGGCGGCAGAACCGAGAGTACCACTCACGCAGCTCCAAGGAAGAGAGAGCGCCTCCAGGCGCAGCACGGTCAGACGCAGCACCCCGAGGCTCACGAACCCCAGGCACAGTACCCGCAGGCTCAGCACCCCCAGTCACAGTCCCTCTAGGCTCAGTACCCCCAGGCTCAGCACCCCCAGTCTCCGCACCCCCAGGCTCAGCACCCCCAGGCTCAGCACCCCCAGTCTCCGCACCCCCAGGCTCAGCACCCCGAGTCTCGGTACCACCAGACCCAGCACCACCAGGCTCGGCACGCTCAGGCTCAGTACCTCGCGCAGGACCAGAGTCGACAGCTACCTCGACAGGCTCGACCGGGTCTACCTGGGAAACACCTGAGGGAGCAGGACCCTGGGGAGGCAGGGGGTCTACCAAAGCAGCACCTGGCGTGAGGAAGAGCGGCGGAGGGGGGAGCGGGGCAGTGCGGTAGGGGAAGAGACGGTAGAAGGGGACCGACTCGTCAAACGTGACGTCCTGAGAGGGGAAGACACGGCGCGAGGCAGGGTGGTAAAACTGCCAGCCAGACGCGTCAGGGACAAAGCCAAGAAAGACACAGGGGAGGGTACGGGAGGAGAGCTTGTCCGCGGACGCATCGCGGACAAAGGCACGAGATCCCCAGACTCGGAACACCGACGCATCGCCAACCTCTCCCGTCCAACGCAGTGTCGGCGAGGTGTCCGGATCGAAGACACGGGGCCAGAGGTTGAGCTGATGCGCGGCGTACCGGACCGCAAACGGCCACAGAAAATGGGGGGCAGCCGCATGGACCAAGGAGGTACGAGCGACCTCCATGACCAGGCCAATGCGGCGCTCAGCAACCCCATCTTGACAGAAGGCTCTCAAGAGGTCGGAGGAAAACTCACCACCTCTATCAGAGTGCAGTCGCAGGACTGGAAGGTCCGAGCGAAAGCGCCTCTCCAGCTGGAGACGGGTAGCGCGGATCCAAGGGATCAAGACATCAGGGACCTCACCCTTGGTGCGCAAGGGGAAGACCGTGGTGTAACGCGTATAGTCGTCAACTACCAGCAGAAAGTAGCGCTCCCCGCCCTGTCCACGGACGCGGGCGGGGCCCCACACGTCCATGTGGAGTGTCTGCAGAGGAGCCTCTGTCGGGGGAAACTCGGAGGAGTGAGGAGCGGCGCGCTGCCGCCCCTCGACACAGGGAAGACATGGAGGAGCAGGCGAGGGTGGGAGGGGAGGGAGAACCCTGGGAAGACCAGAGACAAGGAGGCGACGGTGCATGCCGCGAAGGCGCTGCACTGACGGGTGACCAAGGCGGTGGTGCCAGAGGACAGTCTGGTGTGACAGGGAGCGACACGAGCAGGGGGCCGACAGCTGACCTGACGCAGACGCAGACGCAACTACCTGAGGGGACTCAGTGGTCAGTGTGTACAAGTCCGACCCCGGCTGCCGAGTGAAGGTAGCCAGGTGGCGACCCGTCCGAGCACACGTACAGTGGGTCACACGCTCATAGGCAGGGGTGAACTGGTGAACACCCCCGTCCTGTAGAGCAGAGCCCGCCACCAAGTTCGTAGAGAACGAGGGGAGGTAAAGACCTGACAGGGTGCCAGACGGGACCGCAGGACACGGGAGGACAGTGGAGGAGGTCGCAAGGACCGGACCCCCGGAGGGGTCAGCCAGGGAGACAGCAACCGGTCTAGGAAGCTGCTCGAGGGCAGTGCGGTCGCGAAAGAAACAGCGGGAAGCACCTGAGTCCAGTGTGAAGGTGTGCAGTGCCGCAGTAGACGTAGTACCTGAAGGCGCTGACTCACAAGCACCTGAAGCAGTAGACACACCCGCACCTAGAGCAGCAGCCTCACCAGGACCTGGGGCAGCAGACGCACTAGCACCTAGAGCGGCAGCCTCACTGGTCGCAATGCCGGGGTCTAGTGGCACGCACAAGTAACAGTCACCCCCAACACTAATAGACAATGCATACATTGCAGTGAGAATAGCATCATAGTCAAGAGCAAAGACATCTACCCTCTGCCTAAGCAGCTCCACCCAGTCGGGGAGCTCAGCGTCGTCGCCGAACGCTGTACGCCAAGCGTCGCTCAGACGGGCGAAGCAGCGGGACTCTGTGTGACCAAGCGTCCCGCAAGGCTGACCAGTCCGGGCACCCGTGCTAATAACGTACGGGCAGCGAGCAGTACTCAGTGACCCTCTACTCTGAACGTACCACTCACGAAGCTGCCGGGGCGAAAGAGGCTCGCGCGAACGACACTGCTGCTGCACCGGGCCACTACAAGAAGCTCCTGAACTACCCACTCCAGGACGACTCTCACTACGGCCACCCCGACAACCCCAACTAGCGTACCACTCACGAAGCTGCTGGGGCGTGAGGGACACACGCGGACGGCCCTGGAGCTGCATCTGGCCACGCCAGGAGCAGCAGTAGCAGTAGTAGCAGTAGCAGTAGCAGTAGCAGTAGCAGTAGCAGCGCGGGCAGGGCAGTGCTCACCAGTTGTGGGAAGGGCAGGCGCTCGACGGAGGCAACTGCGAGGCCGCTACAGCGGCAGGTCGGGGCCGCGACCGCGGCAGGGAGCTCCGCAGCAGCAGCTGCAGGGCGGGGCGACGACTGCGGCTAGGTGCTGCAGGGCGGGACCGGGCCGCAACGGCAGCTAGTGCAGGGTAGGGACAGGGCCGCGACGGCCACTGCTGGAGGGTGGGGCGGGGCTGCGACGGCAGCTGCTGCAGGGCGGGGCAGTGCGCGACGGCAGCTGCTGCAGGGCGGGGCAGTGCGTGACGGCAGCTGCTGCAGGGCGGGGCAGTTCGCGACGGCAGCTGCTGTAGGGTGGGGCAGGGCCGGTAAGGCAGTTGCTGTAGGGCGAGGTAGGGGCGGCCATCCAAAGGGCGGGCGCGGGGTAGGGCAGGGCGACGCGGCAGGCAGGGGCGACGCCGCGCGGGCCCCGCAGGGGCGTCGCGACGAGCGGGGGTGACGCCCGGGTCCCGCTGAGGCGGCGCGACGCGCAGGAGCGGCGCCTCGCGGGTCCCGCAGGGGCGTCGCGAAGAGGCAGGGGCGACGCGCGGGTCCCGCAGGGGCGTCGCAACGAGGCGTGGGGGGGACGCGCGGGTCCCGCAGAGGCGTCGCGAAGAGGCAGGGGGCGACGCGCGGGTCCCGCCAGAGCGTCGCGAAGAGGCAGGGGGCGACGCGCGGGTCCCGCCAGAGCATCGCGTAGAGCCGGGGGCGACGCGCGGGTCCCGGCGGGCTGCAGTCGCCGGTGTGTAGCAGCCGCGGCGCGCGGGTTACGGCCTACGCGCGAGCGTCGGCCTACAGGCGGCTGCCTAGGGGCGGCTGCGGGCGACGGGCAGCCTACGGGCGGCTGCCTACGTGCAGGCAGGTCGCGGGCGGCTCGAGGGGCCACGCGAGGCCGGTACGAACTGCGTGGGCGGCTAGAGAGCTGCGCGCGGGCAGAACGAAGGGCGAGGCGCACGAGGGCACACTAGCTGAAAGAAGGCGCACGAGGGCGCACGAGCAGAGAAAGGCGCACGAGGGCGCACGTAAGGTAGGGCGCACGAGGGCGCGTCTAGCGGAATAGTGAACCCGTAGTAGTAAGCGGTCCTAGGTGGCTAACCTAGGCTCGTGATACCATGTCAGAATGAACAAGAGTGTGTGGACTAGCAAGAGGGTTGGGTACAAGTATGAAACCCTAAACTTACTGTACCCCATAGTAACTACCCCACTACAGCAGATCCTTGGGCTTTCCACTACCAAGCGAATTCTGCCCACAATTGCTGCATTTGATAGTTATGGCACCCCGCCCCGCTTCGCTATTGACATGGTTCAGAAATTCCCTCATCTCTTCAATTACAGCTGGAATAATAACTTAATGCCAAAGCTACAGTACCTGGATGAAGTAGGGAGGGGTATCGACGAGGCGGTTCAGCACCCACAGTATTTCGGGTACAGTTTGGCTCGGCGAATTCGGCCGAGGCTCGGCGGTGTGGCTCGGGCTGGACTGCATGTGAGCCTGAGCTTTGTGCTGCGACTGAAGGACGAGGATTTTGAGCGGCTGTATGGTGATGTGTGTAGGGACGAAGTAAGGGGGGGAGATGGCGCACAGGAGCAAGGGTCATGCATTTGAAAAGCAAAGCAACCAATTCTAAGGAGTGAAGAAACGGACCAGGCATACTGCAAATTTACGAAATGAGTTGGCTGGTAATGTCCTTTTTTTATTTTGTGCACATTCACGTTTGCCCTCTCATGCCTTTCCCCGTCCCCACATCCCCCGCCCCCTCCTGTCCCCTCCTCCCCTTTCCCTCCCTCACCCACCATCCTTGCTCCCTGTTACCATAATTTCTGGCCCCACCTTCCACTTGTTTTGTCATATTCTTTGTAGCTGTGCTAGTTTCAAGTCGCTATTTATTCAATTTCTGACCCCACCTCCATATCCCCCCACTCACCACCACCCGCCTTCCCCCCCGCATATCCACCTCCATATCCCCCCACCCACTCACCACCCACCTACCCCCCCGCATATCCACCTCCATATCCCCCCTAAGGGTGAAAACAAATAGCACAGTATTCGTTTTTTACTCGAAATTCGCCTCAGACTCGAATACAAATCGAGTCGAGTTCGTATTCCCTACTCGCTAAAACTCGTTTTTGCCTGCTCGCGAATACGAGTATTTGACGTTCCTGACTCGAGCGAATACTCGAGTATTCGTATTTGAACCCGTGTATGCCTCCCTGTTTTTATTCCACGCTTGCAGGCGCTCGTACGCATCGACTGTGTGGCGCGAAGTTTACGGTGGCACGACGCGCGCTCGTTACATGCGGGCAGCGGGTGAAATCGGGACTTACGGTTTGCTAGGCTAGGTTCTAAGTAGTACCTAACTATCACTAGCAAGTTAGGGTTGTCGAGGAGGTTGAGTTGAGAGAGTTGCGGTGGACGAGGTTGGGTTGGTTTGACTAGGGTTACCACTTGTACTTTTGGTTGGTTGTATTTGGTTGTTGACTCTGACACGTGGCAGTTAGAGTGCACGCACGATCGCATTCTTCCAGAGGGTTTAGGGAACAAAACGCACGACATGTAGGGAGTCGCGAATCTTTTCACGACTCCCTCTGTTGCGCTCAGGTGGACGCCAGGTGGTTCACAATCTTTTTTTTCACGTCGCATGCAGATTCGCGGAGCCGCATCTGCATCTTATTGGGTGTTGAGGGGAGCCCAGATGCTGCGGGGAACTGGCTAGCGTGACGTGAGCCACGACGACAATCTGCTGTGACACAATGAACAAACAACTAGGCAACAAAACGCGCGACAAATAGAATTCGCGAAATTTCACAATGGGTGTCGAAAAGAAAATGCGGGACAAATCAAATTTCGCGAAAGTCAAGCACGTGTGTGGAAACAATGAGCGGAACAAATCTAATTTCGCGGAAATTTGGAGTGCGGCTCGCGGGAAACCGCCAAACAAATTCATTCGACACACAAGGGTGGAGGGAGAGGGAACATTTCCAGAGAGCAAACACACACAATTCCAGAGAGTTGATTTCATATTCCAGAGAGCTCCTACTACCATAACTATGGGTTCATCTTCATGCTTGGATACATTTTAGACCCAGACACTCCATAACTTTGCTACCTCGTTTATCCAATCTACAACTTTGATTCAACAGACGTGTTTTTCTCTCCAAATGGCGGACCCCGGAGCATCTAGCATTCCTACTCCATCTACTAATGATTCAACCGCCGCGCAAGTAGTAGATGTAGAAGCGTCTCACCCCAAACTCAAGCGCATCAAAACGTCATCTTCTAAGATATGGCTCATATTCACCAAGTTGGAATGTGGCAAGAAGGCAAAGTGCAACTATTGCACTCTCAAGCCCGCAATATACGCTTTGACGGGAAGCTCTACATCCTCGATGCGGATTCATGCGATGAAGAGTCATCCTAAGGAATTTCGACTCTTGGTGGGAGGTGCGGAACAAACGGACGCGGAGGATGGCTCATCCAACGAGATTTCGCGCGCATTATTGAAGATAAAGGCCTTCTCGGACAAGGAGAATCGGGAGAAGCTCGTGCGCATCTTCGCCAAAGGCCTCATCCCGTTCTCATTCATCGAGGATGAAGACTTTCGGACGTACTTGCATTGGCTCAACCCAAGGGCAAGTATGCCGAGCCGTGTGACTCTTGCGAACGACATTCATGCGGCCTATAACGCATGTGTGGGTAAGATTAAGAATCTTCTTTTGAACCTCTCATGCAAGGTGTCATTCACCCATGACACTTGGTCATCCCCCACGAATGCCTCGTACATTGCAATAACTTGCCATTGGATCGATGATGACTTCAACAACAAGTCCATTTTGTTGGATTTTAAGCATTTCGAATGTCATCACACGGGCGAGGCCATCAAGGACACGTTTGTGAAGTGCGTTTACGAGGATTGGGAGTTGGGGGAGATGGTGATGGCCATCACGGTGGACAATGCTTCGAACAACAAGCGCTTCATCGACTTGTTGGGGGTGGAGAAGGGGTTTCCCGCGGAGAGGCACATGAGATGCTTCAACCATGTGATCCATCTTGTGGTTGAAGTCATCTTGAAACATCCCCCCATTGAAGATGCTCTCAAGAAAATAAGGGCGTTTGCAACACATCTCAAAGGGTCTACATTGAGGAAAGGGAAGTTTTGGGTGCGGTGCAAGGAGAAGGGTCTTCACAACATATCATCTCTTGCCCATGACACCCCTACCCATTGGGGTAGTGCTCACTTCTTGATGAAAATAGCAAGGATGCTCCGACCCGCCATCAATGCATACTTGGTGGAAGATGTGGATGATGAGGTGGAGCGGGAGTTTCAGATGAGGAGTGAAGAGTGGGATTGCCTTGAGCGTCTTGAGAACCTTCTTGCGCCTTTTGCCGAGATTCAAGACATGCTAGAGGGCTCGAGTTACCCTACCTTGTCTTTGTGTGTACCATCTATCAATGCTTTAATGGATATTTTGGAGGGGAGGGTGGAGGAGAAGGGGGAGTTTTGGGAGGCGTGCAAGGAGGGACTTGAAAAGCTCAAGGGGTACTATGACCGGACCTAGGAGGAGTACACAATTGCCACGGTTTTGGACCCAAGGTTCAACCTTGAGTACTATGCCGATGGTGAGAGCTTGGGTGGTGATCACCAAAGAACCTCAAGTTTCCGAGAGCACATCACCAAGGCATATAAGGAGTACGAGAAGAAACATTCCAAAAGAAAAGAAGTTGCCGAGATCAACTCCTCAACTTCAACCGCAACTCATCATAACACCCCAAGGGAACCAAAGCGGTATCTATTTTTGGTGCCATTTTCCATTGCCGCAAGAGTGGAGAGACCATGGAGATAAGCTCTCAATTGGATGACTACCTTCGGAAGAAGAGATTAAGTGTCGGACCCGATGGGGTTCTTCCATCATTCAAGGATTGGTGGAAGGTGTACGCAACGTTCCTTCCCATTGTCGCGCACATGGCGCGCGACTACCTTGCCATACCGGGAACGTCGGCGGATTCCGAGCGCTCTTTCTCAATAGCGCGTCATGTCATCACGGATTTCCGTCATAGTTTAGATCCTAAGACGGTCCGTGCATGCATTTGCTTGTGCTCGTGGATGACTTTGGATGAAAAGCTAGTATAATAGGAGGGAGTTAAGAGTGTTGTTTGGTGGTTTAGTTCTATTGGGTTATGTTAGTTTGGATCTATGTGTAGAATGGTAGTTTAGTCTAGGCTTGATTCACACATCCCACGAGCATTGGTTCTTGTCATTCATTGGTTCAAACTTCTTCCACCATTGTTTAGAACCTTCATTAGTGTTGATTATTGGTTCTTTCTTTTTCTAGAAATATTTGATTGTTGGTAGGTGGTCATAATAATTTAGGAGCTATGGGCACAGCGGTAAATTAGTCTAGAATCGATTCGCACATCTTGTGAAACCTGGTTAGTATGGTTGAGTCTAATAATCTTCTCTTACCATTGTTTGGAGCGTTCCGTAGTGTTGATGCTTGGTTATTTGTTGTTTTCGTATGGCTCATTTAGAGTCATAATTAGTGTGGAATAAAAAAATTAGAAGTTCACAAACTGTTGAATAAGCTTCCAGTGTCAAAGGTTGGGACGACGAATCACCAGGTTCCTAGAAAATAAAACAGAGAAGCAGTGATTAAGTCTGTATTATAGGAAATCAATGGCTGACAACCAGTTCACTAAGTCAGATTACACTAAAACGAAACACAGACAAACCCGGTACCACAGAGGATCGAACTGGAGACTTCACCCAACCCCATTAGAGGCTACCAACTGAGCAAAGTAGGGCTGCTTATGATTATGTTTTCGTTAATACGTACAAAGCAACCGAAATGTCCAGATAGGATGCACAATTTGCAATGGGTGTAAATGATTGATTAAAGAATCCACTAAGCGGTTCACTATGCAATTGTAACAACCACTATTGTAAAAATAACTTTACTATGAAAATGTGAATGTGTTTTTGAGACTTGGTGGACCTGCACAAACAAAACAGAAAAAAAAAATGAAAAACATAAAGTACTAAGTTGACAAACCCCTACTCGTTTACATTTGTATTCGATTCGTATTCGTGAATATTCGACTCGTATTCGTATTCGAGCTAGAGCCACAATTTGATCAAATACAAATCAGTGGAGCTATTCGACAAATCGAAGATTTCTTGACTTGTATTCGTACTCGTATTCGTATTTACAGCCTTAATCCCTCCACTCACCACCCGCCTTCCCCCCCGCATATCCACCTCCATATCCCCCCACTCACCACCCCCCTTCCCCCCCGCATATCCACCTCCATATCCCCCCACTCACCACCCGCCTTCTCCCCCGCATATCCACCTCCATATCCTTGTCGCAGTGAACATCCACGTGCCCGCCTCCATCTCTCCCTCTCAAACTCTCCCTCTCCCTCTCTCTCTCCCTCTCTCCATCTCCCTCTCTCTTGCTCAAGACGTGTGGAACCATCGAGGCTTACGCTTTACTCACTTGCCGATGCACCTCAGTTTGGAATGAGAAGGCATGAGGTTGATATATGAGGAAAGGCAGCAGCAATCGCTTGCTGCTGTGCCTTGGATGGATGTCAGTAATACCGCTCTCTTTTCCCCCACATACACCCCCAATATTCCCCCACATTCCCGTTGCCCTCTCATTCCCCGTCTCCCAGGTTGCGGACAATCATATGGGGTGAGAGGTGTCAGAATCCCAGCCACTAACCACTGGGATAAAAGGGCTTGTTAATATAGCGGGTGAGTGCGCCCATAACCCCCCAGGCCGACGTGCCTGTAACCCTTCCCTAGGATCATCGGGGATCTCCAGTGGACCTCTGACACCCCCCCGCACTAGGATGCCCGAAGTGCACACACCGGGAATCGAACCCGAGACCTTCGCTCTGATACCATGTCAGAATCCCAGCCACTAACCACTGGGATAAAAGGGCTTGTTTGTGTAGCGGGTGAGTGTGCCCATAACCCCCCAGGCCAACGTGCCTGTAACCCTTCCCTAGGATCAATCGGGGATCACCAGTGGACCTCTGACACCCCCCCGCACTGGGATGCCCGAGGTGCAAGGCACGAGCAGGCAAAGGCACAGGCACAGGCAGAGGCACAGGCACAGGCACAGGCACAGGCAGGTAGGTAGTAGGCTCGAGGCACAAGGCACGAGCAGGCACAGGCACAGGCACAGGCAGAGGCACAGGCACAGGCACAGGCACAGGTAGGTAGGTAGTAGGCTCGAGGCACAAGGCACGAGCAGGCACAGGCACAGGCACAGGCAGAGGCACAGGCACAGGCACAGGCACAGGCACAGGCAGGTAGGTAGTAGGCTCGAGGCACAAGGCACGAGCAGGCACAGGCACAGGCACAGGCACAGGCAGAGGCACAGGCACAGGCACAGGCACAGGCAGGTAGGTAGTAGGCTCGAGGCACAAGGCACGAGCAGGCACAGGCACAGGCACAGGCAGAGGCACAGGCACAGGCACAGGCACAGGTAGGTAGGTAGTAGGCTCGAGGCACAAGGCACGAGCAGGCACAGGCACAGGCAGCATCGGGCAGCAGCAGAGCGTACCGGGTCCAGGGGCGGCTTCTGAGGTCCAGGGGCGGCTGCTGCAGGGGCGGCTGCTGCAGGGGCGGCTGCTGCAGGGGCGGCTGCTCCAGGGGCCAGGGGCGGCAGTTGTAGGGGCGGCTGCTCCAGGAGCCAGGGGCGGCAGCTGAGGTCCCGGGGGCGGCTGCTCCAGGGGCCAGGGGCGGCAGCTGCAGGGGCGGCTGCTCCAGGGGCCAGGGGCGGCTGCTGCAGGGGCGGCCTCTCTGAGTCCAGGGGCGGCTGCTGCAGGGGCGGCTGCTCCAGGGACCAGGGGCGGCTGCTGCAGGGGCGGCTGCTCCAGGGACCAGGGGCGGCTGCTGCAGGGGCGGCTGCCCCAGGGACCAGGGGCGGCCGCTGGAGTGGCGGTAGCGCCAGTTGGCAGCTGCGCAGATGCAGGGCAGAGGCGGCGACCAGGGGGGTGGGCGCCGTGACGAGCAGGGACGACGCCCAAGGGAGCCGCGACGAGCAGGGGCGACGCCCAGGGGCGCCGCGACAAGCAGGGGCGGCGTCCAGGTGGCGCCGCGACGAGTAGGGGCGGCGTCCAGGGGGCGCCGCGACATGCAGGGGCGACGCCCAGGGGCGCCGCGAAGAGCAGGGGCGGCGTCCAGGGGGCGTCGCGAAGAGCAGGGGCGGCGTCCAGGGGGCGCCGCGACGAGCAGGGGCGGCGTCCAGGGGGCGCCGCGACGAGTAGGGGCGGCGTCCAGGGGGCGCCGCGACGAGCAGGCAGGACGTGTGGGGGGACGCGCGGCCCCCGAGTCGCGTTGACGGGCGACGGGATGAGGGGGACGCGCGGCCCCCGTGACGCCGCGACGGGCGCTGGGCAGGGCGACGCGCGGCCCCCCTGAGCGTCGCGACGGGCGACGGGATGGCGGGGGGGGGGGGGGCGAGCGCGGATCCCCCACGGTAGAATACCGCCGCGCGCCTCGGGGCGCACGGCGGGCAGAAACTCGCCGCGCGCCCCGAGCGCACGGCAGCAAGAAGGCGTCGCACGCCACGGGGCGTGCAACACACAGAGTAGCAGCGGAAGCAGTAGGCGGGCCCACAGGCCAGGAGCGTAACCGCTCTGATACCATGTCAGAATCCCAGCCACTAACCACTGGGATAAAATGGCTTGTTTATATAGCGGGTGAGTGCGCCCATAACCCCCCAGGCCGACGTGCCTGTAACCCTTCCCTAGGATCATCGGGGATCTCCAGTGGACCTCTGACAAGAGGCACTTTTCGTATGGAAGCACAGACCAGAATTTATGTTTTGTCTGGAGATCAGACCACCCAAGTTTGCTCAAATTTCCTTCAAACGATTTTTCTTTTTACTACTACTTTTTAAGGCGGCCCAAAAACCTAGCTCGGGCCCTGCATGGAACCCAAGAGTATTGGAATGTACAAAACCTATTGTTCAAAAGAATAACAGCCACCAGATCAGGCCCTTATTGTCAAGCTGTCTGATTTGTCAGACTTGATACCATAAAAAAGTCTTGAAATTTCAGAGTTCAAACATATAAAAGTCTGATAAAGCAAAGTTCACATAGTAGTGAAGCTTACCGATCAGCCTAAAACGAGGCGATACACCCGCGCCGCAGCAGTGCTGTCACTGTTTCAGCGTGACTGACAGGATGAAACGATACTTCCAGCGCTAATTGCGGCTGTCTGTGCAGATTTCGCATAGGTACAGTCGGACTAGATACTAGCCCAAACAGGATCAGGAATCGGAGTACACTCCGAGGAAAAGTCTGAAATTTCAGACAAGGCCTTTTATTTTTTTTTTTCTGAATATTCAGAGTTTGCTGCAAAAAAAACTCTTGAACTTTCAGAGTCCGCAGAAATATCAGACCTTTTTAGGCAAATCAGAGAAATTTCTCTGACTTATGAGGGCCTGCACTAGATACCGTCACCGCCCGGATATAAGTCATATCTGTCTTATCTCGTCAGGCCCTCAGATTCGTTTTTGGCCTGTCTGATTCATCAGACTAG